ACACACACACACACATATATATATCCTTAGCATACTTTCCATCCCTCTTGTATTTATGTATTGGACAGGAAATAGCCAATGATTCATCAGTTGAGTAGCATGAATTTGCTAAAGCCCAGTGCCTGCCTCAATAACCGAACACGGGTTATTACGTGGTGCTGTCGCACAGAGAGGGTAAAATAAAACGAACGCCATCTGTTAGCAGGTGCCACGGAGTTCAGTTTGGGGCAGACATCAGGCTACACGGCCCCTGGTGACCGACGTGGTAGGGGCCACATCTGCTCCGGCTCTGCACACGGTCAGCATGCAAGACCCCCTAAAGCCATTAAACAATACCCCTTTTGCTCATTCTCCCGGCTTTTTAAAAGCCTTTACTGTAAGCCCACCCAGCACTGGGGTCATCACTTTCTGACCCGAGTGTGTGTGCGTGTCCTGTGAGAGCGAGCGTGTAGGCGGAAATCTGATCTGATCATGTTGCTTCTCTGCTAAGGCAGAAAAATCAGCATGGACCCGACACAGCACTCAGGTGGTGACTTACTACAAAGCAGAGGAAAGTTTTATTGAGCAGAGGTGGCACTTGCATAATCAACTGCAAGTATCAATATTGCCAAAGATGTTTCTTCTACCTAGGTTTGCGATCTGAACAGGTCTTCACTCGAATGCAAACAAAACAAACATACATTCAATTCACAGCACAACCAAATGACTCTTGAATAGTTTCTTTAAATGAATCAGTCAAAAAGATTCATCAGAAGTCCTCAATTTTAATCAATCTAACATATAAATCTGTTCAGGCATTTACCAAATCAACATCGGACACACTTACTTACAGGGTGCTTATATGAAAAATAGTTTAAGACATTCACAAAAGGGTTTTTGATGTAAAAAATAAAATAAAATAAAAAATAAATATGATATAAAATAGAAATATTATTATATTATTGCAGCAACCACATTCAGGCGAGTTACAACTACAAAACATTTGAATGGGCAGAGGTTGCACTCAATTGCAAGTATCAATTCTGTCCAATATGATTAATAATACGATTAGTATTATTATATTTTTGATACACTATAATAATAATACTTTAGATTATTCAATATATTATCATATTATTCAATAATAGTATGTTTTTTTTATTTGATCTTATTCTTATGAAGCGCTTTGAGATGCTACTTTTAAAGGCACTATAGAAAATAACATTTATTATTATAGTAATTTTCTTTTTTGGGTGAGCTAAACAGGTCAACTGTAATTTCACGTCGACTTAATACAAAAGTCTGCATGTAATCTCAAAATCGAATTTATTGTTGCTAAGGAAGAAAAAACACATATTAAAGAGATCTTCTAGGAAAACTCCTTAGCAAGAGTTCATTTGTCAACCAATTTGGCCTTTCCTTTAAAATTGGTTGACCAAGCACTCTTGCTGATTAAGCTTTAAAAAGCTTGGTAAGGACATAGAGACACTAGCATCCAAAACACAACATACACCGATCTTTTAATAGGGCAAAACCTCTCGCTTCCTTTCCACTCTGTCTTTAAGTGATGGCTAAGGTATAGGGTCTCTTTATATCCTCCCACTCCAGCGGAGGCTAAAAGCTTCCTCTCTTTCTAGTAATGGTAAGAGCCTTGCAAAATTAATAGAAGTAATGAGGTCCCCTGTGGAGGCAGCCAAGTTGATCTTGAGAGTCAGACCTCTTTTTAGATCTCTCAAGTCCTGCTTTCTCTTGGACAGATCTCGACTCGTTCTTCCTCCACCTATCCACTCAGCCAAATCCTGAGCGACTGTCTCTATCTTGAGCCAGGGCATGAAAGCATACCGCATCTCCCAACACAAGTGTGTTCAACACAGAAATGCCTCTGCAAGACTCTCTGGAGATCAGCTCCTCTTGCTGCCATTTTTTTTTAACTCAAAAGCAATCTTGATAAGCTATTCACCTTCACAAAAAGTGGAGGAGGAGGTCTGGTGTGCCATGTTAACCAGTCATTAAGACTCAAACACTGACTCGGATCGTAAAGCCAGCGCACTCATCTAAACGTACTTCATTGCCTTGACTTCTCCAACCTTCACCCATTAAATGTGGACTAAAAGCAGTTATCTGAGAGCACAGCCGAATACACTCAAAGATCACATGCAGAGAGAGAGAGAGAGAGAGAGGGAGAGAGAGACGCATTTCAGACAGAGCTCAAACACAAAATTGATTCCTCTTTCAAGCTTTTTTACTAAAGCTTGAACACACACATACAGAGAACATGTCAAAATACTCGTCCCGGAATGTCCTCTCTTGGTTATGTCATAAGTGAACAGTTGAGAAAGAAACGGGATGTGTGTCAGTAGTATTTTTGGTCCGTGCATTCGGTCTTAAAGTGACAGCAACCTAATATTCCAGACTGATCTCATGAAATGGCGTATGACACGCCAATTCGTATTTCCATTTTTGGTGTGCTATCAACACGCATAATCGCTTTTCAGCGTGTTTATCAATGCCGTTGACTTAACGTTACATTACTGTATATATAAATATATGACCTACCTGTCACTGGGGTTAATACCATTTATGAATCTTCCCCTACCATCCTAGGGAAAAAAAAATTCACTCCCCAGATGTAGATTTACATTTTGCTTTGTTTCGCTCTGACATTTAACGGCGTGTACATACACGCGGAATCACTCGGACATTAATGGCGTAGACACGCATACACACGGATAGCTCAAAATGCGTGTAGATAACACGCCACTTGACTTGAAAGTGCCGTGTATGTTACGCAAAAGTCATGATGAATGTTAATAAAATAAAAACCATGTGCTAGAGAAAAGAAGATAGTGAGGAGAGCAGTCAGGAGGAAAGTGATTATATCAGCTTGTAGGATAAGGGTCTGTTCACATATCGCGTCTTTTTTGCGCTCAAGTTCGTTATTTCAAATGTAGGCGCGCTGTATGCACGCTCATAATGGAAGCGACGCGTCCGCGCCCCATCGAGATAAAAACATCTCAACTTTTCAGAATGCCGCAAACGCACCATAAGTGCACAGTAGGTCACGTGACAAGAACCAACCGGAGCGCAACCGCCCTAGCGCTTTGGAAAAAGGAGGACGCGGCTCGCCCAGCGTTTTCTACGCGTTTTTAGGCGCTATATGTGAATCCGGCATACTACGAACAATATGTAGTATGATCAGAGTCCAGTTCACAAACAAATGACTCCTACAAACGGTTTCTTTGAATTAGCAAAAAAGATTCACACGTCACCAGTTTCAATCAGTCTAACAATTAGTCACTCAAACGGTCATAGCAGTTAACATACGGACAGGTTTACTTGACAATGAGTTGTTTAAGATAGATCTTCAAATAAAAAATTAAAGTAAAATAATAAAAATGTATGTTACATAGCATGACATATTTGTATATAAAATATTTATATAAAAACGGAATTTTTGAAAAAAACTGACCCAGAGACTGAGACACATGATCAGACACGTAGAGGAGTTTCATCACAATACCCCGCAGACCCATCAGAGACCCCTGTTCTTTCAGTCTCCAAAGCCTGTTACATATAACAGGAAGCTCAGCTGATTAACATGATTAAAACATCCTGTTCTAGGGCCCGTCGACCACACACAGGAGGCAGCGTCGAATGACAAGGTCAGCCAAATGTCAGTATGAGTGTGTGTGAGTAACTGGCAGGGATTATACTGGTGAATGTTGACCAGAGAAACAAGTGCCTCTTTACATAGAGAGCTAAATGGTAAAGACTTTCTCTAGTCTAGCAGGTGCGAGTCTGTATGTGTGTGTGCAAAGAAGGCAGGCTTCTTGGTGAGCAGCCAGGCATCAGGTCGATGCAAAGCAGGAAGCAGAGGTCCACAGCCCTTGCGCTGCAGTTCCTGTTCTCTGCAGGGTATCGCCTTCTCTGCGTAGCTGTCTAGAGCCACAGAGCCAACACCCAGCGCCAAATCACTCATACCCCCACACAAACACACACATATTCACACTCAAAATGTACTCAAAACCATCAGCCTTTCAGCTTTTTTAAATTACCAAAAGGCACCATTTCTAACCTTTCATTAATTCATAAAGACGTACTGAATGGGAATACAGCAGACGATACAATCTGAAGAGCCACAATTGCACAAATATTGACTTTTGTTTAAACAGGTTTCCAGGACACGGCCCTTATCCGTCATTGGTTGGACAAACAGATAGTCCCGCCCTAGTGTCTCTGGGATAGGAGAAAGTGTTTTAAAACTTAAAAAGCCACAGACTTCAAAATAATTATGTTATGGCCCATTAAAATGATATACCATTTAAAAATATTTAGAAATTAATTAACACGAAAATGAATTGTTGCGAGTGCTACATGCGAATTTACATTATATTATAATCACATTATAATGTATGCTCATTTTAAAGTTTGCTAAAAATTACATTTAACAGTGTTACATTATTTGTGTTTTTACAGAATAAGTAGTGGTAATGCTGTCAGCTGATAACCAATATGGAATTGATATCATTCATCAGTATTTCTGTTTTAATATTTAGTCTAACCACTAAATTGCTGTGCACAAATATATCAATGATAGCTGTCATGGCTCTCTCTCCCTCCCTCCCTTACTCTCTCTCCTCAAATGATCAATCAGTTTGTCAGTGGATATGATGCATGGCAGGAAATGGAGAGACTGCGGGAGGGAGCCGGAGCGAGCGGAGTGCCGGGAATCCTGGAGCAAAGGCTGACGGGAAAATTCTGCGCTCCGGGGGGCAGCAAGAGCGACTCGCTTCCATAAACAAGGTGCAGGATCGGTCAATAGGTTCCGTCACTCAGCGGGAACAGCGAGTCACCATGGCAGCGCCACAGGGCCTGTTTATAATCAGGCTTCCTGGGACCGAAAATATCAGTGCAAGGGAGCATTGCACAGCATATAATCCACTAACGAGTCATAGTCCTTCATGATGCTGCTTCGAACACCTGTGCCTGGTTTTTGGAACATTGGTCGATGTCAAACTCACCTGTTTATGTGGTCCTCTCAGGATGTGAGCTCTGGCCCCCTCACACGCCGTCCTCATGGCCTCCAGAGACGGAGTCCCCAGCAGATCTGTGATCAAGTCCAGCTAGAATATAAGAAAGAGAAAAGAAGAAGAGTAGATAAGTGTTGTACATTTATTATGTCTCAGAAAGGATAAAGAATATACATAATGTAAATAAATGCAAAAATAAAATAAAGTAAATAAATAAAAAATAGAAAGTCCTGATTTAAAAAAAGAAATAAGTGAATTTAATAAAAGAGGAGGAGAAGGACAAAGGGAAAAATGTGAGACTAGATCCATGTTCAAGATCTGTACACAAACCAGCTAGAGCAAAACCATGTTCAAGTAAATCAAATTCTTTACTGGAGAGAATTTAATGAGCCTTAAAGGGAATGTCGATGTGCTGTCGGTGCACATTCAGGGCTGTGGGGACGGGAGTTGCGCGCACACACACAGCCAGTCCCGGAGCCTCTGACACTGCAGGGCCAGTATTATTAGAACGCATGGCTTATAATTTTCTGTGTGAAAATTTTGTAAACTAAAAAGTGTATCTATAGTCATACTTCTCAAGACATTGTTTCATGTTACTCCATCATATGAGATCCTACACAAAATAGAGTCCTCCGTGTACATGCTAGAGACATGCTGTCTAAGCTGTGATGGTGCTGCACACAGCCTTCAAGGACAGAGGGCTTCTGGGTCGTGGCCACACTGGGGCTTCAGCACAACAGAGCCTTGAGCTGCCTCCACTCTCTCATTAGCATGGCTGTACTACATTTGCCAACAACAAAAAAAAACAAAAAAAAAAAAACTGTACGTTAAGGTCACACGCTTAACATCAGTGTCCAGGACTTTTAGTTTTCACTAATAATGTCACAAAGCTGGGAATATATTTTCCATTCAAAAACAGTAGATGATATAGCAATGGTTAATGGAAAAACGAATGGTAAGTGAATTGAGAATTAAACATAATACCATACAGATTTATTACCATAACACCATAACATCATCTCTGATAACAAATTACTTTACTTTTAAAAATTGTAATGTAGACACATGCATTTTCTGAAAAGCTGCTTTAAAAATATATATTTGTGAAAGCGCTATAAAAATTCAAGTGAATTGAACTGAATTGGATTGAATAAATGTATAGGTGAAAAATCTTTATTAAAAGGAGTAGTTCACTTTAAAAAAAAAAAAAAAAAAAACTTTTGGTGATAATTTACTCACCCCCATGTCATCCAAGATGTCCATTTCTTTTTTTCTTCAGTCCAAAAGAAATTAAGGTTTTTGATGAAAACATTCCAGGATTTTTCTTCATATACTGTAATGCACTTTACTGGGCACCAAACAGTTCAAGGGCCAAAAGACAGTTTCAGTGCAAACTGTTCAAAGGGCTTTAAACGATTCCAGAGGATGAATAAGGGTCTTATCAAGCGAAACGATCACTCATTTAAAAAAACAAATCTTTTTCCGAGTCAATTCGTTAATTTGTTCGTTGAATGAACCAAATGACTCGTTCATTTTGATGATCATATTACTTGATAAGACCCTTATTCATCATCTGGAATTGTTTAAAGCCCTTAAAACAGTTTGCAGTTTGCACTGAAACTGTCTTTTGGACCTTGAACCGTTTGGTTACCAGTAAAAGTGCATTATATGGAGAAAAATCCTGGAATGTTTTCATCAAAAACCTTAATTTCTTTTCGACTGAAGAAAGAATGACATGGACATGGATGACATGGGGGTGAGTAAATTATCAGCAAAAGGATTTTTTTTTTTTTTTTAAGTGAACTACTCCTTTAAAGGTCATTAAAACTGTATTCTGCAGTTTATCTAACATATATTTTAAATAGTCACTTTTCCATTGAGGTAAAAGCCGTCAGAAGTTAAAAAAATAAATAAAAATAAAATCACAGATTCCTTAAGCATTTGTTTTGAAGGTTCTTGCCATTTATCCATACAATACATTGCGGTTTCTAGCCAAACCTGTTGGAAACCTGTTGCCCAATGTTTTGTTTACTCGTCGCCATACTCAATTTTTGCAAGTGCAGCTGAACTCGAAAATTATCAACAATCATACTGCAATGAGAGCAATTAGAAGTTTCCTTTTACAACATGTAATACTGCATACTGTAAGTTGAGGAAAAAGTCAAAAGACACAATGTGTGTAGCATATGTTCCAAGATTAACGTGCTTAGCTGTTCTGAAATCAGAGGGCTCTATTTGGCTGATAAGAATGTTGTTCCAAGAAGAACAATAAATAATGTTGACGGGAACATGTTCTACTTGTATAAATCACATCGAGCTGTGTGAAAGGGCCAGTTCTTGCCTACAGATCGTGTGCTGAGCGTGAGCGTAGGTGAATACCTGTTGGATGGGACTCTGGGCCTGGAAGAGGATGCGTCGGCCAAGCAGCTCGGCAAAGATGCAGCCCACAGACCAGATGTCGATGGCGTTGGAATAGTGCCTGCTCCCCATCAGGATCTCTGGCGCTCTGTAGTACTGCGTCACCACCTCCTGGGTCATGTGACGCGACTCGTCCAGCTCCTCCACTCTCGCCAGGCCAAAGTCACAAATCTGTGAGCATATTACCATGATTTGCACGCTTATTAGGTTGGCGGAGTCAGCAGTGTGCATGTATTGACAGGGACGGAGATGTTGAAAATGCTTTTTTTTTTTCAATAAATCAAGCAATCAAAACAAAACCTCTTACTCTAGTATCTCTTCAAGCTAGCCTATAACACAATGTCCTTTGTTGCCTGTTGTCGTTTTGTTTTTATTCATTGGTTTAGGCTCAATTTTTGATTGAGCTTTATAAATAAATTGAGATTGAGAAAATTAGGTGGAGAGGCTCATTCACGTTTTAACCAAAAAGATAAACACTAAAAGCACTATAAACACAAGACCCAATTTTCCATCTTGAGCTGCTTGAGTGCTCATGGGGAATAAATAAATGAGAAAAATATCTCTGCCTTGTCTCTCCACCCTCTCTCAGAAATAAGGCACATAAGAGCCTAACACGCATTACTAACAATTTACCCAAGCAGCTCCACCCAGTATATCCCAGCGGCCTAATTTCAGGCCTTCCCATAAGACAAATTTAAATGCGGCAAGTAACACTAAAACATGCACTTTATTGAAATGATTTCTTGTTTTTTTTTTTTTTTTCCATCCACAGAATGAGTGACAACCTGCCATGGCGGTGCTATGTGGTTGGGTCAAAAGAGCCTGCGTTTTCCATTTTTACATCCACATATTTTGAGAGAAATCGCATAAAGAATGTTAGATGGAAATGTAAAAAGACATAAATTATGATGGAAATATATTTATAAAATAAATTCTTGGGCACTCAAAAGTTTTTTTGAATTTTGAATTACATTTTCAGTTTTCATTTTACCTTTGTTAAGTAATTTTTTATGTATTTTTTTGTTATTTTTAAAATATCCATTTAGCTTTAATTTAGATTTATATCGGTTTTAGCTTTAGTAATTTTGGTACCAAAATTGGTTTTTCATCCAATATTGATACTGTATGTATTATTTTCAGCTTTGATTATCCAAAAGAAAAGGCTTGGCATATCAGAGCTAAATAAGAGAAACATTATTTCTTTTCGGAAATGGGGATTAAGGACTAAATGAAGCAGCGCATGCTAAATGATTCCCTTTCTGTGGTCCAATAGCATAATCTATTCCCGCTCTCCCCTCAAGCGCACTTCTTATGCTGTTGTTGGCTGAAGTCAACACGCACATACATCGAGAATTTATCTCTTTCTTTATCTCTCTCTCTCTTCCTATATCTCCCACATCACCCTTGCTTTCTCTTTTGCAGCTGAGCTTTTGCTATGGGATCCAAAATTTATGTCAGGAACTGAGCAGATGAATCAATCCCAAGGGGACCCTGACCCCCTGGAGCCAGTGATAGTGAGCTAGTGTGTGTGTATGCTGTAGACCTGGCCTGGCCTGGATAGATATGAAGCGTCCTCGGAAGAAAGGAATTATAAAGACAGAATTCAAGGCCCATAGGCTAGAGTGTATAAAGCTAAAATAGCAGAAGAGCACAGAGACAAAAGAAGCCAGTGCAATTGAGCCTAAACAGTCAAAATCTCATATTTATCCAACAAAAATATATTAAAAGCACAACTAAATGTAATGTTTATTATAGTGCTTTATGTAAAGATTGTTTATGATGTTGAAAGGCTGTTTACTCATTTCATCCTCAGAAATTGAGAAAATAATCCATTTAATAGAGACAATAGCTGCAAAAATATCTTTTTGTTGTTTCTAAATTAATTTGGAGATTCAGTGTGAAAATAATTAAATGTGATTAATTACAGAACAATTTTAATCAAATTACATCACTAATATAAACACTTATCTTAAGAGTCAGACTACTTTTCAGGGTCAATGTGCGTAAAATGTCAAAAATAATAAATTAATTTGAACAACCAAGCTGAACTGTCCGAAAAGACAACATTTACATTTTGACTAGTATTTCACTAACCTTAAGCACACAATTGCTGTTGACCAGTAGGTTACCAGGTTTAATGTCTCTATGCAAAATGCCAGCTGAGTGTAGATACTTCAATCCTGTGGACACAACATATACATCAGTCATCAAAGACATTTTGTGGACACAAACTGTATTGATATGAAGCATTTGCTGTGCAGGTTTCTTGTTTGGTTTGAAATCTAATCTAGTTTACATATAAACAGACTTGTGCCCTATGGTGGTATCATCACTCTAGGATTCAATAGAGCTTTGTGTCACTTCAAAACACTGTTATGCGTGTTTCATGTGATTCATTAGCAATAAGGTGAACTGGTCCCTTTAAAACCTGTCAGTTGTCCAACAGTAATCAAAATATGGGAAAGGAGATTGATTCTGTTTCTCCAATTACAATTCTTACACTCTTTATCTGCACTGGTTAGAATAATAGTAAGGAACATATGTGTGTAATTGTCTGCACGTTTCTCTACCCATGAGATCTTTGGTGAAAAAAGACTGTGGAGAATGTGCGTGTCTGACATCTGAAGGTGAAGTTTGAAGATTTGAAATAAAGGGTATAGTGTGTGTGTGTGTGTGTGTGCGTGTATCTCACCTCTGAGGATCTGATAGAGAAAGACTTTGACGTGGTCAGAGCTCAGGGGCTGTGGAGACACGATGATCTTATGGAGGTCACTCTGCATCAATTCCGTCACCACATAACTGTGGTTATGTCAAGGGAAACAACCATGCCAAAAATAACAGCAGGAAGTTCACACATACAGTACAGCAGCGCTTCGAATGATAGGCAGTTTTAGCACTCATCTAAAAACAGAGCCAATGGATAGGGAGTTCATGGGGAAGTGGAGAGGGTGAATGTGAAGAGGACTACCATTTGTCTAAAGCGCCTCTCCTAAACTAGAGCAGAAAGTCAAGAGTATTAGTCACACATTGCTACTTTTTTTTAATCTCAGATTTTACACATGCAAAATATGATGATGAGGCATCCATTATATTCCAATACCATTTGTTTAGAGCTGTTTAGTAGACTTTAGTTACAGCTTTGTGGAGTAACCAGTAACAAAAAAAAAGCTGTTTTCAAAACAGTAACAAGCTACTGTATGGCAAAATGCCAGACCCTTGATCTCTAGAAAGATCTTTTCTGTCATTCATTTCATTGTCTTCATTTTAGTGCATATTTTTTTTTGGATGGTTTGTGAGCCATCTACGGAAGCCCTGAACCGGAAAAAAAAAAAAAAAAAAATCTAGCATTTCGAGATTAAATTGTGAGACAATGGCAAGCACACACACACAGCTTCTACGGAAGACTGTATTCTCGTACTCTCGTCTCTCGAAATATTTTGACTTTAATCTTAAAATGTTCCGACTTTAATCTCAAAATGTTTCGACTTTTATCTCGAATTTTTTTACTTTAATCTCAACATTTGTCGACTTTATTCTCGAAAAGCTCGATTTTTTATTTATTTAATTTTTTTTAGGTTGCGGTTCAGGGCTTCCGTAGCCATCAATCAGTTTTATGCAAAGTAATCATTACATAAAACTACAATATATCTGAGTCAATAAATATATATGAAAATTACTTTTAATATTTAGAAAACTTTTCAGCAAAATGTTTAATATATACACAGAGACAAGGGGTGTAACGGTACATATATTCTTTCCGAACGGTCATGGTACGGACGTCACAGTTCGGCGCATACGGTCAGAAGACAAATACAGTCACAGGCGATTCACACTCCAATTCAGAAGGGGACACGCATGATGATGCAAAGTTCTTTGCTAACCACCGCAACAGGGAAAAAAAATGCAGAAGAAGAGACAATCTACTGTATACACCAACCCAAAACAAGAGATCAGATGCTAGAGCGTGCTAGTAGCCTATACGCCCTCCAAAACTTCACGGAAAGGAAACTGGGACGGCAGAAAACTGCATCCTGTTTGTTTGTTTTTTTTCTTTAATCAAAGCACAATGTTTTGTTTTTAATTTGTAACTCAAATTAAAACAGACCCTTTACAGTTTCTAATTACGTCTTATCTGTATGACTATAAATTGTGGAGAATTTTGAACCGTTTCCGCAGTTATAATCAGACAAAATCACTTGGCATTGTGCCGATTTGTGTTGTGGAAAGGTGAAGTAGGCTCAGATGGCACTTTCTCTAGCTCATCTTTCTGTAATTTCTTGAAAATAAGCGTAATATTGAACTTTGTGCATTCACCATTGCCACCACGTTACTAATCTAGTAAAAATATGTTTTATTTTTCATTATTTTATTTATTTTGTACTTATAACACATAGGATGCTTTTCAGTTTTGGAGCTGATTGTGACTGGCTATTTAAATCTAGCGGGTTTGGTTTCTCTTGTCGATGTCTATTGGTCGCAAATACAATGACGCTTGTAGTGACGATTCTGTCTGACCAATCAGTGATCTGCAGTGTTTCACGTCACATTTTAGTACCGGTACGATATGCTTGGAACCTCAACAGACCAGGTACCATTTAAAGCGAGCCGAAGCGAGCCGTCCCGTACCGTACTATGCAGTGGAAAAGCGCCACAAGTGAGCCGTACTGAGCCGCGCCATACCGTACCACGCAGTACAAATTGTTCAAAATGTATAAACTGTCAAAATAAATGAAAAGAAGCCTAGGATTGGGATTTTATTGCTTTTTCCTGTCGTACCAAACTTCTATCAAACCGTGACCCCAAAACATATATTTAAATATAATTATTTAAATATAAATAATTATATTTTAAGTATTTTTTCTTTTATTTAATTTACATTTTTGAATTATTTTTAGAATCATCTTATCACAATAGAAGTGAAAATGAAATAAAGCTATTCTTGAGAACAAAATCTCCAACACGGTTTAGTTACTTTGAATTTACAACAAGCAATGCAAGTGCCATTATTGCTATTGTACACCTGCAGAAAAAAAGAAAGTGGCATTACATTCGTCTTAAGTCGGACAGCAGGTCCTAACACCTGTTCTGCCAAACACATGGCACGGGGAGATTTCGCAGAAACATCAGGGTGTGATGATGTGGCAATTGCACAGCGATGAATGTAGATGTTGAAAACACACATGGAAAGTGTTACAACAGTCAATGAGTGAGCTGAATCCAAGGCAACGTAATCCAATGAACACAACTACTATTTACTATAATTCAAAAGCTAAAAAAGCTAAAAAAAAAACAAACAAAAAACGTGTCATTTCCAAGTCTGAGGGCAAAAGAACACATTAGGCCTCTATTACAATTCCCAGAATATAAAGCACACAAAGATGAGCTGCTCTTTGACACATGGTCCAGCTGGAGACAAACACAAACTGGAGACTTGACACTTGCGAGTATCTAGGTCTAACCTTTAAATGGAGAAGAATATTATGTTGAATAATCTTCACCTGTAGACACATTATGACTCATTCATGTGCTAAAGAAAGAACAAGGTGCAATGATTTGCTTCCGCACTACAAGTCTCTCAAAACAAACACCAACTTCAGCAATCAACACATATTAGCGCAGACTCGACACGTTTGCTGTCAGTAAATACGAGTGATGGAGAAAGCGTAGGAGGACTTCCAGCAAAGACAAACCACCTGTGATCTTCCTTTTATAAACACATAAAGATGAGCCGCTCTCTGCTACTAGGTCCAGTCGAGCGGGAAGTCATGCACACGAAGGTACACAAGGTTTGACAGATGCAGATCTGTGGTTCAAAAAAAGCCCATCCAGTCATCTACACTGTGGCCAAGTCAGCAGAGGCAACCCTCCTGTGTGTGTGTGTGTGTGTGTGTGTGTGATAACTACAGCTGAGCATGCAGGACTGCTTGATTGACTGTCTGCTGGGACAAGCTCATCTTCAACCCACCCCTCGGTTTTCCCTTAAGTTTCTCAGCTACAAGAGTGTCACAAGTATTTTCATGCTATCTTTCACAGTGTCACTGCAAATTGACACGGCTTCTTTTCTCAGCTTTGGATGCATCTCTCTTCCTCTTTTTGTGTCTATTATGCAGTTTTTTTAAGTGCTCTCTATATATTTATGCCCGATTTCACAGACAAGGCTTTACAGTCCCAAATTAAAATGCATATTTGAGCTTTACTGAACTGAGAGCAATTTGCACTAATATTCCTTAAAATACTTCAGTGTCATTGATGTGTCACACAAGATGCACACCTGTTTTTTTGTTTGTTTGTTTAAAAAACAATGATTTTAACTAAAGCCAAGGCCCTGTCTGTGAAACCAGGCCTTAGTGTTTTAAAATAACAAACTTGCAAGTAACTAATCTTGCAATTATTCGTTTTTTTTTAAACAAAAACAAAAACAAAAAACAAAAAAAAAACGGAACTAAACAAAAAAACATTTTCATAACTCAAAAATTAACAAAAATAAATTGAAAATGGCCAAAATTTTTAAATTTAACAATATGAAACTTTTTTTAACACCAGATAGCACATAACTAATCCAAACTAACAATTTAATAGTTAAAACTAACAAACTCTAAAATAAATTGAAAAGATTAAATAAACTATAATAAATGTGTGGTCACACTGCAGCCGAAATCTAGTCATTTCAAAAGGAATCCACGCAATCAGGAATTCAGCTAGGTTCAAGTTGGTCACACAAATTTGGTCACATTGACCAACAGGAAGTTGCTTGATTTGAAAGAGAATTCTCTACGAGCTGTGCCTCATACATCACAACACATTTAACATTAGACAATCACTTTTTTGCTCTTAGCAAATTTTGCCAACATTTCACTAATGTGATCATCACACTGAACAATTTAGACTCCACATAACACACAGCAGCTTATGGACTATAAACAGCCAATTCTCTCCCCTTTTCCTGTCTGAGATTTTCACATCCACTATGAAACAAAAGCAGTATTTGTTTCGCAGCTCTTTGTGTGGAAATAAAACATTACTACACTGCAAAAGGGCAATAGAGCTTTGCTGTCAGTGCTACACAAAATGAATTTCTGAAGTATTTAGTAAATTATTTTCATTTCATTTTTCATTTATTTTATTTATAAAGCACAATTAAAACAACATAATGTTGACTACAATTACATAAATATAATGCACTTTCAGACAAAACAAGGACTAACCAACATCTGTTAAGAGCCTATTGCCAATTAACCTGCTGAACGGTTTCCGTTTCGCTTTCGTTCAAAATAACCTAAAGACAGAGCCAGTCTAAGATGTAAAGGTAAGATTATTCCAGCGCCTTGGAGCTGCAACAGAAAAGAACGTCTAGGCTCATCTCATTTACTGATCTGAGAGCCCTAGAAGGTTTATGTATATGAAGGAGATGCACTAAGTATGGTGGGGCCAATTTTTTGCAATGCTTTATATAAAAATCAATAATTTAAAATCAATTTTGAACTGCACAGGCAACCAATGAAGTGAGGCTAAAATACATGCTGCTAAGCTTTTTACGAGTCCCTGTTAAAAGTCTAGCATTTGCATTTAGAACCAATTGAAGACGATTTTACCCTCTGGGGTCTAAGGTGTTTTTGGGGTCCTTGAGATGTTATGACATGCCCTGACAATTTGTTCTTTTTCATTGGATAAGCTTATTTGATGTCTATTTTATAGTAAAAACTTTATAATCAATTTCGTCTGTAACAAAAAATGGTTTTTCACAATATAACCCAATTCACAGTTTTATGTGCACGATTAGGAGGATGATTTTCAGATCA